GGGAACTTTTTTGGGAATTTTTGGGAAATTTTTTTGGGAAATTTTTGGGATTTTTTGGGAATTTTTTGGATTTTTTGGGGAATTTTTTTGGGATTTTTTAAGGGGGGTTTTGGATGGGGGAGGGGCGGGGAAAGCCCCTCCCCCCTCGGCCGCGCCCCTCCCCCCCCTCCTTTATTTATTGTCCCCTCCCCCCACCGGGAGGGGAGCGCGGTTTTGGGGGGGGGAGGGGAAATGAGGGAAAAAAGGAGGAAAAAAGGGAAAAAAAAAAAAGAAGAAAACCAGGGAGGAAAAAGCAAAAAAAAGAAGAAGAAAAAAAATGGGGGAAAATGAGGAAGGAAAAGAGAAAAAAAATTTTTTGGGGAAAAAAATTGGGATTAAAGGGAAAAAAAAAAATTGGGAAGAAAAAGAAGGAAATTGAGAAAAAAAAAAAAAAAAAACGGAGCCGGATGGAGAAAATGAGGAAAGAAACGAGGAAAAAATGTGGAAAAAATGAGCAGAATTGAGGAAAAAAAAAACGAGGAAAAAATGAGGAGAAAACGAGGAAAAAATGAGCAAAACTGAGGAAAAAAAACGAGGAAAAAATTGTGGAAAAAATGAGGAAAAAATGAGCAAAATTGAGGAAAAAAATGAGCAAAATTGAGGAAAAAAACCGAGGAAAAAATTGTGGAAAAAATGAGGAAAATTGAGGAAAAAAAACGAGGACGAAATGAGGAAAAAAAAGAGAAAAAAATGCGGAAAAAATGAAGAAGAGAAGAGGAAGAACCAGAGAAAAAAAATGAGGAAAAAACGAGGAAAATGGAGAAGAAAAGGAGGAAAAGTGAAAAGCGAAGGAAAAAGGCAAAAAGAAGAGAAAAATCCGGCCAAAAGTGGAATAAAAGAGGGAAAATTCGCGGGAAAAAGAAAAAGGAGAAAAAAGAGGGAAGAAAAGAAGAAAAAGGGGAAAAAATAGAAAAAAAAATGGGAAAAAAAAAAGGAAAAAAAAACCAAAAAAAAAGGGAAAATTCCCCCCCGGAGCCGAAAGAGGCGGAAAAGACCAAAAACCCCCCCGGCCCCTCCCCCCGCAGTGCCTGCCCCTCCCCCCACGCCACAAATACCTCACGGAGCCCCAAAATCCTCGGAATCGGCCCCGGAATTGGCCGCCTGAAAACTGTGAAAAATCCCCCCAAAAAAAAAACGCCTTTTCCCGGGGGAAAAAAAAAAAAACCTGGAATGTAGCCCCGCCCCCCCCTCGGGTTTGGGGCGTTTTGGGGTTATTTGGGGGGTTCGGGATGGAGAGGAAAAAATACGGGAAAAAAAAAAAAAAAAAAAGGAAGGAAAAGGGGGGAAAAATGAGGGGAAAATGGAATTTTTGGGGTTTTTTTCGTTGCGTGTTTTTTTTTGGGTTTTTACGGAAGAAGCGTCGCCGTCGATTCCCGAAGGGAAAAAGTTGGGAGAATCCAGGTTTTTTTGGTTTTTTTGGTTTTTTTGGAGGAGTTTCGGCGTCGGAAAAGCGACGGGAAAATGGGAAAAAACGGGGGGAAAAAAACCACGTGGAAAAAGCGGGGAAAAAAAAAAAAAAATGGAAAAATGATGGAAAACGTTAAAAAAAAAAAGGACAAAAAAACGGAGCCGAAATGGTGAAAAAAGGACAAAAAAAAAAAAAAATCGAATGAAGCCAAAAATGGAGATGGAAGAACTGGGAAAAGAGGGGAAAAAATGGGAATGGATGAATAAGGAGGAAAAGTTGGAAAAGAAATCAGAGAAAAAAGGATGGAAATGGTTAAAAAAGGCGAAAAATGGACAAAAAACGGCCCAAAACTGCCGGAAAAGGACAAAAAACTGGCAAAAAAAAAAAAAAAAAGACGGAAAATGCCAAAAAAAAAAAGGACTAAAAGTGACTGAAAATGCCAAAAAATGACTGAAAATGCCAAAAAAAAAAGGACAGAAAAAGCCAAAAAAAAAATACCAAAAAAAAAAAAAAAAAAAAAAACCAAAAAAAAAAAAAAAAAAAAGCACCCAAACCTCAGCCAAAAACCACCAAAAAGTGTGAAAAACCCACAAAAAAAAAAAAAAAAAGCACAAAAAAACCCAAAAAAAAAAAAAAAAAAAAGGAGTTTTTAGACCAAAAAATCGGCCCCGCCCCTGGGCGGGGCCAGAGCTGGGGGGGAGGGGCCGCCCCGCCCCCCGCCCCTCCCCCACCCGAAGCTTTAATGAACCAAAAAGGGCCCCGGGGGGGGAGGGGGGGTCCCAAAATACCTCAGAACTGAAACCAAAAAGATTTGGGGGGAGCAGCCCCTCCCCCACCGTGGGGGAGGGGCGGGGGTGGGGGTGGGCGTGGTTATGGGCGTGGTGGTCATGGAGAGAGTGACCAGTGGTCATCAATGGAGTGACGAGTGGTCATCAATGGAGTGACCAGTGGTCATCAATGGAGGAGTGACCAATGGTCATCAATGGAGTGACCAATGGTCATCAGCAGAGTGACCATGGCCATGGTGGTCATCGATAGAGTGACCAGTGGTCATCAATGGAGTGACCATGGCCATGGTGGTCATCGACAGAGTGACCATGGCCATGGTGACCATCAGCAGAGTGACCACAGCCATGGTGGTCATGGAGAGAGTGACCAATGGTCATCAACGGAGTGACCATGGCCATGGTGACCATCAACCGAGTGACCAGTGGTCATCAGCAGAGTGACCCTGGCCATGGTGGCCATCACCAGCGTGGTCATCACCATCAGGGTTGGTCACGGTGGCCATGGTCACGGTGATGGTGGCCTCGGTCATGATCATGGTGGCCTTGGTGTCGTCTCCTCGGTGACAGCGGTGGTGATGGTGACCGTGGTCGTGGTGGCCACGGTGGCCATCGCTGGCAGGGTTGGTTGCGGCCGTGATCGTGGCCGTGACCTGGGTCACGGTCGTCGTCAGGGTGACGATGGCCTTGGTGGCCACAGTGGTCATGGTGGTCACGATGGTCGTGGTGGCCTTGATGGCCTTTGTTGGCCATGGCCATGGTGGTCATGGTCATGATGGTCATGGTCATGGCGGCCTTGGTGGCCACAGTGGTCATGGTCATGGTGGCCATGATGGTCGTGGTGGCCATGATGGCCTTGATGGCTTTGGTTGGCCATGGCCGTGGTCACGGTGGCATTGGTGGTCATGGTGGCCGTGGTCATGGTGGCCATGATGGCCATGGTGGCCTTGATGACCTTGATGACCTTGGTTGGCCGTGGCCATGGTGGCCACGGTGGTCATGGTCGTGGTGGCCATGATGATCATGGTGGCCTTGGTGGCCACGGTGGTCATGGTGCTCGTGGTGGCCGTGGTCATCACCATGGTATCCGTGGCCTCGGTGGCCACCACCATTGGTCTTGGCCGTTCTCCCAGTGGCCACGGTGGCCACGGTGGCCCGGCTCATCATCGTGGTGTCCGTGGCCATGGTGGTGGCCATGATGGTCACGGTGGCCTTGGTGACCCCACGCTCTCGCCGCCCCCTATGACGTCACGCCACGCCCCTATGACGTCACGTCCCCCCGGCGCATTCCCCTCCCCCCACCCCCATCCTGCAGCCAAAGAGGGCCTGGGGAGGGGGCGGGGCCCCCCCTGACCACGCCCCCCCGGACAGAAATACCTCAGAGACAACCAAAGAGCCCCCCCCGCACCTCGGGGGGGCTTTCGGGGGGGGGTGCCCCCCCCCCCCCCCCCCC